GAAGTGGAGGAGCCCCCATGTGACTAAAGGATCTGAAGCATATAAGAGACAGGAGCATGGGGGGGAATGGTCAACTCTGTGCGTGGGGGCAGCTTTGCAGGCCCAACAATTTCTGCCACAAGGGGGCGCCAGAATACAGAGGATGGTGGGATAGGGAGGGGTCAGAGGGATGCAGTCCTAGGAGAGTTGGTCATTGCAGGCCAGCTGGGCAAGATGGGTAGAAGGGCATCAGCTAGTGTTTCCAGGAAATCACACTGCAAGGGTCTCCCTGCACCTACACCCACCTACCGTTGCCAATCCTCCGGGACCTGAGAGCTCCAAGCAGACAACAGTTCTCCTAGTGGGAGTTGGCAAGTTGCCCAAGTATGAGCCAACACCAAGCCATGTTCTTGTCAGGACTCACACAAGGACACGTCCTGGAAATGCTGAAGGACATAAATTGATTTTAAAACTTGAAAGCCCAGCATCACATAACTGAGATAAGGTCCTACTGTGGCCAGTGGGGCCACACTGGAGTGCTGGTCCAGGGCGAGAGCCACGAGTGGGATTTGCTTGGTTGGGAGTATTAGATTTGTTAACTAGAGATCCCATTTGCTCAGTTCTGGGCCTTAATGTGAAATGCCCTATTTTCCCCTTAAACAGAATGGGACATTGGCAGTGGCCATGTTCTGGGATCCCATAGAATTCATGGCAAGTTGGTTGTAAATGAGGAAGAGGGCCTAGTGATGTCCTACTGGCTTTTGTTTTCCCATTTGCATCATATATTTAGGAATCATATCCCAAGAAAAGACCAAACCCACTGTGCAGGCCCCTGAGAAGAGGATGAGGCTGTCCTACGGTGGTCGCTCAGGCCTGGTGGCCTCCCCTACCCTCTTCCCCCACTGACACACATTGCAGTCTTCTTACAGACTGAGCAAGGAGTCCTCCTCGGCCTCCTGCAAAGCACTGTATGGGTAACATACAGGGAAATCTCAAGCCCTTCACACAATCCCACTCTGCTTTCAGACAATCCAAATACTCCTTCACTGAAACTTCATCCAAGGTTGATCCTTCTTCAAAATCTAGTAACTACCTTTTGCTTTGGTTGCGATATGCATTCTCCTGTTAACGTACTTTGCTTTGTTGCAATAAGGTGTGTGGGGGGAGGAAAAACCACCTCATATTGTCAAACTGTTTAAGTTCGTTGTTAGGGCTCTTTGGCTGTTTAGAATAGGAAAAGTGGAAGGCACACAAATGCTAGCGATGTAATAGGAGAGAGACGGGTTGAAAGCACAGGCTGACTGAACTACTATCAGGCAGGCTCAAATGAAGGGCTATGCAGCCGGAAAAAACTGGGTAAGGAAGAGCACCAGGAACTGAGACAGATCCATTTCCAGGATGTTTTCTTAAGTGGGGCAAAGAACATTTATGTGAAGATAACATGACAGATAACTAAGGAATGTTATATATGCATTTACCTAATCTGAGGGAGGGCTATTTCTCAGAAATGCTGAAAAGTGACTCCAGAAACACTACAATTGGAAAAGGTTATTAAAATGGGAACGGTTGGTAAGTGGTGGTGATACTAACAGAGCACAGGTGGGAGGGAAGGAGTCAAAGAGTTCTGAGTACACCTTTTTATATAGTTTTGAGTTTTGAGCCATGTGGAAGTTCTGTTTGTTAAAGAAATGTAAAAATGAAAGCATACTTTCAAATGAAATGCAAACACAACCCACTGAACATATGAAATGCCATGGCCTGCCAGTGTGCCCTACTGTGGAGGCTGGTATATTGCTGATGCAGGAAGCTCTGCTACCAGTATTTCAATCTAAAGAAGGTTTAGAGGAGCTTCCAGACTGAAGCCAACTAAGGAAGAAGGCTTCATGACCCACGACAGAAGCCGAGTGAATGAAAACCTACAGGTGACAAGAACACACTTCCGAGATAGCGGACAATATTTATGACTATATATATATATATACTGTGTTATGTGGAACACCATCCAACACAGTGATGAGTCCCCAAGATAGGAAGGGGCTGCATACAAGGAATCATGAAGATGATGCAGGACTGGTGACATTTTGTTCTGTAACAAATAAGGCCAAGGAGCCACAGCAGCACAATGGGTAAGTACTTGGCTGCTAACTGGAAGGTTGACAGTTCAAATCCACCAAGTGTCTCTATGGGAGAAAGAGCTGGCAATTTGCTTCCATAAAGACAGCAGCCTAGGAAACCCTATGGGCCAAATTTACTGTGACAAACAGAGTCACAATGCGTTAGAATTGACTCAAATGAACCTAGCAACAACAATATACATAGATTGGAGCCAACACAATGGCAACAAACAAAATCAAACTGATCACATAAACATGCAGAGGAGTTTGTGCTCAAGGAAATGTCTGAGCATAATCTTATATATAAGCCTTCATGTAAGCATACAATTAGTAAGTACAAAAATGAAGTCATGTGCTGCATGATGTCCACTCAGGCAATGACTGCACACACGTGTCCGTGGTCCCATATAGACAAAACAGAGAATCAGAGAATGGGACATAGCAGACATACCTGGACTTAACTAACACAGCAGCTTCCTGCATACCAGACATGTTATCTCATGTCTCCTGCATACCAAGTCATTGCATGTTGTTATGTCCCATCGAGTGGGACCCGACTCATAGCGACCCCTCCTTGGGTTTCTGAGGCAGCATCACTACGGAAATAGATTGCCCCATCTTCCTTCCGAAGGTATAAGATGTAAATAAGCTATAATACATGTCGTTAGTCATGATAAAACCAGGTTTCTTCTAAACTGTGTATGTATTGTTGTTGTTATGTGCCATCAAGTCAGATCTGACTCATAGCGACCCTCCTTAGGTTTCCGAGGCACTATCACTACAGAAGTAGATTGTCCAACCTTCCTTCTGAGGAGTGGCTGGTGGGTTTGAACCGCCAGCCTGCTGGATTGCAGTCAAGTGACTTAGGCACTGCGCCACTAGAGCTCCTAGTATGTATTGTACAGACATAAAATAGTAGACAGTGCCAGGATGTACCATTTACACCATTCTTCCCATGAATGTTTTCTGCTTCATCTTAATAACTTGCGTTAAGCAAATATTTCTGAAAACCATTAGCATTTGACCCTAAAATACATCTGTGTGCCCCATATGGGCTAGCCAACTTCCACTTAGCAAGTTTTCCCCATGTCACCCAAAACTCTTAAAAAGGTCCTGCTTCACCTCACTCTTTGGAATTTAGCTTAGACTTAGCTGAAGTATCTCTCTGCCTGTCATACCCTGAATAAAATCTAGTGTGCTTATTTAAAATTATCTGGCACCACTTCTTTAACATTTTAAAGAGTTATAACCTTAAACTTGTAGTGAGTATAGGAGCATCAATTTATGATATGTGTAGTTTAGATGTTGAAAAAAAGGTTGAGACAAACTTGACTCAATGGCAAGAGGTTTGGGTTTAGCACTGAGACCATGTATTGCACAGACCGTGACTTTTAAAAGGAAGCAGAGGTTTAGGCAGAAATGAATGATTCCAAGCCCACAACAGGAAAGTACAAAATAATCCAGGATTTTTTTTTTTTTTTTTTGCATTGAAACACTCATAGGGTTGTGTCAGCAAACTGTGTAGCTACTGTAATTAAGAAACTGAATGAACTTTCATTTTAATTAATTTAAATATAACAGTAAACTTGATTCAATTACAGGAAAAGTACGTTTGGAGTAACCCGACACAGTGAATCTACTTTTTGAACAATAAAATATATGATATATACTGCTTCTGGATTCTGGCAGACTGAGTACAATAGGAAGAAAACATAAAATAATCCAAAATATATGTATATTAATTACTTTGGTTGTAAATTTCATGTACAGTTTTTAAAATGAGAATGAGTAACTTGATATATGAGGTGAAATAAGACTTCACTGAAAATTCCACAATTACATTTTAAATTTTCTAATATATTAAAATATTTTAAATCACATCTTTGACTTGTATTACATTTGCATTAGACAGAATTGTGCTAAAACCAACATCTACTTTACAACAAACTGATAAAATCATGATAAACCTAATATAGCAAAACCTGTGAGAGCCAGAAATCAACAAGACTGCCTTGGTTCCTCCAGGTGTTGCATGTAGTCCACCTTTCACAGGGTTCTTACCACACTTCTCTCATTCTCCATTAAGAATGCTACTTCACAGATACCTAGTGAGTTTTCCTTCTCTGACAGGTATCTGACATTCAGTTTTTTGGCTTTCACAGGTTTCAGAATACAGAACACTTGAACATTTTACTAAACAAGCAGGAAAATATACTCTGAGGCAGATTAAACAGAACTAAAAAGAAAAAGGCAATGTGGAAATCTTGTTTGGATCCTAGCTTCAAGTAACTGAATACCTGTAATAGGTACTTCATGGGCAACTGGAGAAATTTTCATTTGTTGTGTGGGATAATGAAGATCTGTGCTTTTTGGTAGGAAATGGCCTTGTTTGTAGGAAGTACATGCTTAAAAGGGGAAGTGAATGTCTGCAATTAACCACTGGTAGTTTCAGGATAAGTGCATGTGCATATATGTGTGTATGTATATACATACATACACACACACACACTCCTTACATTTATAAAGTCTTCCCCACCCAACCTTTTTATGTAATTAACGAAGTTTCAGGATTTCAAAAAAGAATCCACATTCTGTACATTCAAAACTTTCCTCTCCAGAGTGATTCCTTATGTATTCAACAAGGTAAGAGAAATAAGTAAATACTTTCTGACATTCCTCACATTCATAAATTCTCTCCCACTGTGAGGATATTTATAATCAATAAGCCCTGGACACTGAAGGTTTTCCCACATTCCTTACCGCAAGCCTCTCTCTGCACTCTGAGTTCTTATGTGTGCAATGAACTGTGAGGACTTGCAAAACATTTTGTAGCATTCCTTACATTCATAAGGCTCTCTACACTGTGAATCTTCATATGTATAATGAGGTCTTGCTGTAATCTTTATATTAATAAGACCTCCCTGCACTGTGAGTTCTCATATGTTTAGTGAGGTGTGAGGAAGCATGAAAGGCTTTGCCACATTCCTTACATTCATAAGGCCTCTCTCCACTGTGAGTTCTCATATGTATAGTGATTTTTGAGGACTGACTAAAGCCTTTGCCACATTTCTTACATCTATAAGGTTTCTCTCCGCTGTGACTTCTTAAATGTGACGTGAGGGCTGATGGGCAAGTAAAGGCTTTCCCACATTCCTTACATTCGTAAAGCCTCTTTCCACTGTGAATTCTCAAATGTATAATGAGTTGTGAGGAATTACAAAAGGCTTTGCCACATTCCTTACATACATAAGACCTCTCTCCACTGTGAATTATCATATGTCTAGTGAGGTTTGAGGATTGATGAAAGGCTCTGCCACATTCCTTACAAACATAAGACCGCTCTCCACTATGAATTCTCCCATGCATATAGAGATTAGAGAGCTTAACAAAGGTTTTGCCACATTCCTTGCATTCATAAGGCCTCTCCCCATTGTGAGTTCTCCTATGTAGAGTGAGGCATGAGGAATGCCTAAAGGCTTTTCCACATTGTTTACATTCGTAAGGTTTCTCTCCACTGTGAGTTCTCATATGTGGAATGAGGTGTGAGGCCTGACGAAAGGCTTTGCCACATTCCTTACATCCATAAGGTCTCTCTCCACTGTGACTTCTTAAATGTGAAATGAGGGCTGGTGGGAAAGGAAAGGCTTTGCCACATTCCTTACATTCATAAGGCCTCTCTCCACTGTGAGTTCTCATATGTCCAGTGAGGTGTGAGGAAAGACGAAAGGTTTTGCCACATTCCTTACATTCATAAGGCCTCTCCCCACTGTGAATTCCCATATGTCTAGTGAGGTGGAAGTAAAGACGAAAGGCTTTGCCACATTGCTTACATTCATAAGGCCTCTCTCCACTGTGAGTTGTCATATGTGCGGTGAGGTGTGAGGAAGCACGAAAGGCTTTGCCACATTCCTTACATTCATAAGGCCTCTCCCCACTGTGAATTTTCATATGTTTAGTGAGGTGTGAGGGAAGACGAAAGGCTTTGCCACATTCCTTACATTCATAAGGCGTCTCCCCACTGTGAGTTCTCATATGTCTAGTGAGGCGTGAGGAAAGACGAAAGGCTATGCCACATGCCTCACATTCATAAGACCTCTCTCCACTGTGAGTTCTCATATGTCCAGTGAGGTGTGAGGAAAGACGAAAGGCTTTGCCACATTCCTTACATTCATAAAGCGTCTCCCCACTGTGAGTTCTCATATGTCTAGTGAAGTGTGAGGAAAAACAAAAAGGCTATGCCACATGCCTCACATTCATAAGACCTCTCTCCACTGTGAGTTCTCATATGTCCAGTGAGGTGTGAGGAAAGATGAAAGGCTTTGCCACATTCCTTACATTCATAAGGCGTCTCCCCACTGTGAGTTCTCATATGTCTAGTGAGGTGTGAGGAAAGACGAAAGGCTATGCCACATGCCTCACATTTATAAGGCGTCTCCCCACTGTGAATTCTCTTATGTTTAGTGAGGTTTGAGGAAAGACGAAAGGCTTTGCCACATTCCTTACACTCATAAGGCCTCTCCCCACTGTGAGTTCTCATATGTCTAGTGAGGCGTGAGGGAAGACGAAAGGCTATGCCACATGCCTCACATTCATAAGGCCTCTCTCCACTGTGAGTTCTCATATGTCTAGCGAGGCGTGAGGAAGAACGAAAGGCTTTGCCACATTCCTTACATTCATAAGGGCTCTCCCCACTGTGAGTTCTCATATGTCTAGTGAGGCGTGAGGGAAGACGGAAGGCTTTGCCACATTCCTTACACTCATAAGGCCTCTCTCCACTGTGAGTTCTCATATGTCTAGTGAGGTGTGAGGAAAGACGAAAGGCTATGCCACATGCCTCACATTCATAAGACCTCACTCCACTGTGAGTTCTCATATGTCTATTGAGGCATGAAGACCAAGCAAAGGATTTCCCACATTCCTTACATTCATAAGGCTTCTCTCCACCGTGACTTCTTACATGTAAGGTGAGTTGTGATGGCCAATTAAAAGCTTTCCCACACTCCTTACATTCATAGGGTTTCTCTCCAGTACGAGTTCTCACAGGAGCACAGAGGTAAGAGGGACAACTGCAGGCTTCTCCACATCCCTTACACTGATGGGCATCACGTCCAGAGTGAGATCTGAGACGATGCTTAAGTGATGAACAATTCCTCATGGATTTTCCACACTCAAGGCACACAGAAGGGTATACTTCCACGGGAGTTCTTTTGAGCACAGAAAGATCTGGAATCCGGGTGAAGGTCTGTCCACACTGACCGTCTTCATTACTTTCATAGAGCTTCTCTACCATACGTCTTCTGTTAAACACAGGCAGCAGGCTGTCGGATATAAATTTGTTGGCATTGCACCATTACGATAAACAGGAAACATGTATTATTTTTGCCTTAAATTGTCTCATGTTTCATAAATTAAATCATCTGGCTGAGATGGTACCATTATTTTTACTGTGCTTCAAAAATTTATGGCTTTTTGATATACTGTATATACGTGAAATGTTTCAAATAGTATCTCACTCACAAATAGGAAAATATTGTACTGTAAAACTGTGAATATTTTTTATATATATGTGTGTTTGTGTGTTTGTGTATGAGCTCTGGTACCATAGTGCCTAAGGCACTTGAC